CTCACTAAGAAAGACAATATTTTGAGTTTAAAGATTCAGTTTGGAGTTATGATTAAGATTAGACATATTTTAATCGTTGTTTCAATGTGTAGTCCAGTGAAATTGAAATCGTTGTCACTTCACTTATTTTGAGAGGGAGGAGGGACGAGACGACCGCCTAATTGACGATGATTGGCTAAGGCAGGCTTATCTTTCAGTATTAGCCAATCAGAGGCAGTGTTTACACCAAATCTTACTCGCCTGCTGCCGGCTCGTGTACCCAAACTAGCAGAGGTAAGCGGCCACAATGACGATTTTTGAGGGGGAAAGTGGCGTTTTCAAAACCATTTAAATCTCCGAGAGGTAAAAGAAAAAAATATACACGTGGAGCGTACATTATGTTTATCAAACGACGCTTCTACAAAACTTGCGACCAAAACCAAAATTAATTAGGTGTGCTAGCCAGGTGTGGCTAACTTGAGCTATCAAAGAATGACAGCTAGCCACACCGTCCTAACAGCTAAAGTTTAATTTATTTAATTTACACTACAGAGTAAAAACCCTTCACAGTTAAACTGTTTGCTTGTGAAAAATATTTAAACTATTTAAAAAAGTGACACAATAGTTACCTTTCCTGCTAACTAGTTACTTTTATAGTGTAATAATTCAGTTACTAAGTCACAGTCACTATTTGGTAAAAGTAACATAACTATTACTAATTACTTTTCAAAAGTAACATGCGGTGAAAACAGACTGTTTGTGTGTTATTATTGCTGTCTGTGCCAGGAAAGTTGGTAAAGATGAATATATATTATATGGGAAAATTGCTGATGCAACATACAATATGTTCTCTTATTGACTTGATTGTGTTAAGATAGTTGGGCTTTGAAACCGAGATGCTCCATTGAAGTGTTTCCTGTTGTATTTTTTTAAGAGAAGAATGATCAGAAGTTTCCACAACTGAGAAGCAATGTCAGTGACTGCAGCACTACTGAGGCTGTATCAAGAGAATCCAGCTGTGGAACTACAGCTGTTTACCTCACACAGGTACTGAATACATGTATAGAAACAGCGTAATGCACACTACTGGTACAGTCTGTTTTTCTTCTTCTTCAATTTTAGGTATCTTTTTGAAACTGCCTGTGCTGTTGGACTTTTTATACCTCAACAGGATGTAAATCCTGCAGACCTCAATATATTTTAAATAGTTTTGGTGGAATGAAAAAATGAGGTTTAAGCCATCGTTGGCAACCTTTTAAACCCTGCACTGCTGTCCTCCAGACAGTAGTGATGGTGTTGGGATGGATGATTTAAATATAGGGCTGTACCAATACCACTTTTGCATACCGTTACGAGTACAAGTACTGTATATGCCATTTGTGTATTGGCCAGTACCATGTAGCAGTACCGATACTTCTTTAGTTTGGGTTTCATAAAATGTAAATGAAATGAAAGGCATTGTTAAACACATGGCACGGCTGTGTGGGAAACAGTGTGACATGCAGTGTGAATGTGAGCTCAACCCAAACCACAGTGAGAAAACTAAGCAGGAAAATGCTTACAATCAGTTTTATTTTCTGTTCACTAACAGAAGGCTGTTTCTAGACAAAAGGAAACAAATAGTTACGTGTTAAAAACAACATTTCTTTTAACTGAGAACTTCGTCACATTAGACAATACATTAATGTAAAATGTAAAACATTTAATGTTAAACTGAGAAGAGACATTGGAGCATTCAGTGCTATGGCACATCTACAGGTGTTTATGTCTTCGTCCCTGGTGTTAGGCCACATGGAACAAATGAACATCTGAATCTATTAGTTTATACGGAAGGGATCTCAAATGTGAACCAGATGGTAACAACTGGAACTAAGAATGAACGAGGTGAGCACTGAACGTCACAACTTTGGAAAGTCTGGCCCTGACACTGAGATTCGTATAACAACAAATCATTGAGAATGTGAACACGGATTCAATATGGGATTTATTAAATAACATTCAAAATAAAATATATTTACTGAACCTTAATGATCCTTTAATGATCAACAAGGCACTGCTAGTCCTTAGTCCATACTGGCAGAGCGGCCAGTATGTAGATATGTAATTATTTTATTTATTTATATGTTTAAATGTGATACAATCTTTAATCTGATTATTTTAACATATTAATGGAAGGGAATAATGTGTCCATTATGACGGCATTAGTAAAAACTATCAATAATAAATGGACAGAGACAACATATCACAATAGTAAGACTAGGTTAACACATTTAAATAATATAATGAGGCCACAAATCACTTAATTTACAACTTTAGTCAAATTTATCTCGGTAAAAAGCTAGTTTTATGTTGTCCAAAATATGATGACAACAACAAATATAACAGATTCTCTAAATTATTTTCCAAATTAGAGAAAAATAGCCATTTCATTTTATCCAGATGGCAGATGTAGCTTGGGCTTTTTCATATTTGTGGTTTGTGGCTGTTGTTTAGGAGACTATTCATTTCTACACTGCATGATCACAACTGCACAGCCTCTGTCACCATTTCATTATTGAGAATCTAAATCACACTTAAGTAGTTTATAGGTGTTTAAAATGCATATGTTTCTGTACATTCAAGCACTGGATGGAATCTTTTAAAAATCTATTTGATCTCGCCAATGTCTACCAGTTAAGGAAACTTTATTAGTATTTCCCTGTGAGTCTGCCCTTCGTTCAGCTCTGCTTCTCTAAAACAGTGACAGTCTTTACTGTAAAATGTATGTTGCTATTCGTGGGTAATGGGGCCAAAACATTCTGACAGTGTCCTTGGGGAGTTCTTAAATGTAAAACCCAGGGTCATTTCCCCCTATACAACACAAGCAGCCTTCACAGAAATGGTAAACATATTTTTGACGGTTAAACGCACATAAGCCGTGTTGTGTTTGTGTTTCATTAACCATGAAAAACCAAGGTGAGGTTAACACCGCAAAGGAGTCTCAGTGGGAAATGACTGCAACCTGAAGCAGCAGGAAATAAAACTTATGTGTGTGTGGTGCAGTGTGGTCTAGTACTGCAGTACTTGTGGGGACACTGTTGTGTCAAAAAACATCATTGTGAGGACACTTTGTTCCCACTCTGTTAGAGGCTGTTAGAAGTTTGGGGTTACCGTATGTTAAGAATTAGAGGTTGAGCTAGAGATTAGCCATTTATATAAGGTTAGGTGTGAAAGGTTGCATTGTACATATATGTATTTGAATGAAAAGAGCAATACTGTATGTCCCAGTTAATATCTTTAAACGGAACACACATATTTTAAAATGGTTTCTAACTTGCAGATGGATTTTATTTCACTAACCTATACCGTACATGTAGTATGTAAAAGATCTTAAAGCTAAGGTTATTAATTTGTGTAAGAAAGCATCCTATTGTGCTAAATAATAATTTTTAGTTGTTCAAGTCCTTTTTCTGGGTTTTATAGTATTATAGTATGTGCAGCATGATGTAAATATACATTTGCTTTCCATTTAATATAAAATTGACAAAACCTGGGTGACTTACTGTATTATATCGCTTGCCCTCTGCCAAAATAGTGCACAGCATAGGACCAACATGAAATTTATGGAAAGTCCCATACTGGTCTGTCCACACCAGGGTCTTACATATGTCTGTTTCCTGGGGTGGAATATTTTCTGATTACATATTTTCACTCACTGTATCCAGACATTATGGAAAACTAACATATGCTATCAATAAAAATACAGCTAGGCTACATTTGGGCACAGGCTCAAAATCAACAAGTCTGAATTTGATTCTCGTAGTCGCAGTGATGCAGGCTACGGGAACCTGCCGGTCATCTCTGTTGTTTCTCCGGACAAGTGAAGAATGACACACAATTGGAAAGTTCAGCGTAAGGCCTTTATCACCATAGCATGACAGCTGAGTAAAGATGTGAATGAAGTCTTACACTGTGCTGTGCTCGTGTACTGTTGTCCAAACCCCCAGACATTCAGCTCTGTGTGTGCCGCTGGGCCCTAATGTTATTTCAATGGCAAGATGTCAGGAAAAATGTTGTTTTTGGCCAATGATTCACACCAGGAAATAGACACGTGCACATACACACACACACACACACACACGCACGTTTTCTATGGTGTCATGTGTGATTGAGTTTGGACAACCTTTCCCAGAGTTCTCCTGTTGTCTTTTAGAAATTCTGTTCTCTGTGCTGCAGGAAACATGAATGAATACAAGGTTAAGTTTCTGAGATACCTCGGGAATTGACATTTCCAATTCACATTGGTACATTTCGAAATGAAAGTAGATGTGGAGAGATACATTTCTTATCATTGATAAATTAATGCATGAGATTTGTCTAAGCTAACTGCTAACTAGAGTAAATTTGTTGAAACTAATAAAATAATAAAATGACTTGCGGGAGCAGCTAGTGTGCCACTCTTTATATATATACATATATATATATACATATATATATATATATATCCATATCCACTTCTCAGTCTAATGAAATACATCCTGGTCTCTTTGAAACTTCAGACATGTTTTTTGATGGACTGTTTTATGTCGGCCATGAAATCCTGCTGGCAGTGTAGAATGACTTTTTTTTTTTTTACTTTGCCACTGGACTAAGTGGTAATTTATATGTGGCCTGCAGGCATCCTTCTGGTCCAGTTAGAGTTATGTCTGACTCACTGTGTCAGTTTCTCTTTGCTTTCCTCGGTTACAATCACTCGTTTATTCATTGCATTTATCCATTTTTAAAAATTATTTTAAAAGAAATAATTTCACATGAATGTGTTTTTGTACGACTGTTGCTGAGAGATACTGTACACCACTAAATAAATGTCAGTTTTATTGTTAGGGGTGAATGATTTAAACTTTGCTTTAAAATGTAAATTTAAGCAAAAATGGTTCATATTTTGATAAATGTTTGACTACTGTGGATTTAGAAGCAAAAGTTGTGTCGATGCTTTTCATGACTCAAAAGCATTAAACTCAATGACTGTTTTTATCATTTAGGTTGGAAGCCTGTCTCTGTGCTGTGTGTTTGGGATGAAGCACCTGTGGGACACTCACTTCCTCCTCCTCCTCCTGTTCCTCTACCTCTTCGGAGCTGTTAGACCCCAAGTTAACCCAGGTACGTTCTACCATCAAGGATAAAGAAAAATGTCTTCATTTGAAGATTTTTAAAACTCCAGTCAAGTACTGAAAAAAAAAACCATAAAAAATGCTCCACTCTTCCACATCCTGACTCCTCCTACTCCACCGCTTTCAAATCTAAATGTTATACATTTAAGAGTTTAGACATTAAATTCAAAAGTGACATAACAAATACCATAAATCCACATAAATTCAAAAGTGACATAACAAATACCAACAAATACACTGTTTTTTCTTTTATGGCTTCCTACAGAACTCACAGTCTAAAAGATTTTATTCAAATTTTATTCAACAGCCAGGGAGGAAGTGAAGAGACTGACATTTGAATTTATGGAGTTTTGAAACTAAAAACTTATTTTTGCAGGCCTGTTTATGTTGATAACTACATTCCAAGCTTTTTATCCAGATGTGAAAGTAACCAAAGTTTTTTTTTTTTTTTTTACATTTTAATATTCTCCATCTTAATCCCAGATCACATTCTTTCAAAGACTCAACATGAATATTTCATGAGATCTCTCAACTACTTTTAATGAAGGATTTCTGGGTTTGACCCCATAGGTATTACTCTCTATTTTCTCTCTTATTATTCTATTGTGTGTTTGTATGTGTGTGTAAATGTGCACGTATGTGCTCAAACGCATGTGCACACACACACTGTGGATCCAGCTATTCCACTGGAGTCTGTGGCTAATGCATACCAGACATTCTGACAGCAGGAAAGTCCATTGAAATAAGCTCTGTCCTTCATCTTGGAGTGTGCACGCGTCTGTGTGTGTCTGTGTGTGAGCCTTCACCAGTATTTGACCACTCATAAGTCATGGAAAGCACTGCTTGCATCTGATCATGGTCAAAGTTCAACAGGTTTGCTGCGTACCAGAAAAATAATAAACGAAATATTTCTTTACAAACTTATGATGACCTCGATTGTCGTGAGATTCTCACATCTTAACCAACAGTTGCATTTTGATTCAAGATACTGTACATCCATTTGAAATGTATTTGGTCTGTATCGAGAAGGTCATTTTCCGTAGTCTGAAAATCTTTGTGGTGCAATTGAGTAAAGCTGAGATGTTGAGCAATGCCAATTTTCCCCACTTTTAAATTCCCAAGAAATGCAGTTACACCATTCCTGTCTTTGGGTGAATTTATTGTAGAGAATGGTATTATTGTGCATGG